TCCGTTTGAAAAACCATTTTTTAACATGCTGCATTAAATAATAATATATATAAAATATGATTATTCATAGAAATAAATGTTTGCATCTATGTATACTACAAACTTATATACAAAAGTACTTATCAATAAATTCTTAGCCAATAACTTCAATTGTACAAACATATCTCAATCAGAATGCTGTCAAACAAATGATGATGCGATGCTTACATATAAAGCCGGATCTTTGAACCATTTATAAGCTTATTATCTTAAAAACATACGACATCTTGCTCGTCATGCTGTCACTTTTAATGTTTATAAAAAGTAGGATGGTGACATTGTCGTGTGTTACAAAAAATCATGTCATACGCCTCCTTTAAGTTGAACGTCCGTACGACATGAAACCCTTCCCGCTCCGTTATTTCAATGGGTAAATGCCCTCAATTACATACACCTTTATTTAAAAAAAACAAAATTACTCCTTAAACACCATAGAGGTCGAATTTCACTTGTTTCTTGGTACAAGTTACGATTCCAGTTTTTAATGAGTCATTTTGTTTTTTTTTACCTACTATACTTTATGGTATCGTCGGTACTGGAAATTAATATTTCATGCCTTGTACTTACTGTCGTTTTGTTTTGGATAAAGTTAGCAAATGATTTAATTATTTTCACTCTCTATCCGAACCTATCCTAGAAAAGAATGTATTTTTTTAAACGTTGTCCCACACTTGGATTTTCTCCTGTGTCGTGGGTGCGTTTACAAACATACAAGTTCACGTACACAATGACATCCAGACCCGAAATAACAATTTAGGAATCACACAAGCCCAGCCACCGCACCAACCGTGCAGTCTTGTGTGTTTCCCGGACATAAATACATAATTTCCCCATACCCCATGGAGTATAGGTGTACATTTGTACGTGTGTACAATGATGCAACAGATATTTATAATATTTCAATCATGAATTTCAGTTCGGAGTGTAAAAACCCAATAATGACTCAATAGCTCTGAAAAGCTAATGATTAGTATTGATTAACAAGTTACGTGATTTTCTTAGAATCTTGCGCTAAATGCTTGTACTTGGCTATTGAACTCTTTCTCAAATGGGATGTGCAAATTTACAACGAAAATATCTTTATCAAATATCATCTATATTTGTATATTATAAGTAAATATATTATTTTATAAAATGCTTGTCGTCTATCTCTCTTACGAATAAAAATTTTCTATGTTTATGCTTTTTTGATCATTGGAATTTGAAATGACTGGCGTTTGCTTAAGTTTTACTTAATAATATGCAGTTTTGAAGTGCTTAGGTAAACTGCAAAGCTAATAATTCATTTTATTTTAAACATATTTACTGAAGTAAAAGGTTTTGAAGTATTTGATCGAGTAAAGAGAGGTCAAATTTGTAGAAATTTTCAGCAATATGGTTCCAAGGTGTAATAAAATATAAACGTAGTATTAATACACATAAGATTACAGTGACGCTACTATTTACTTATACATGAATTTAGTTCAGTTTATAAGTAAAAATCATCTACATAAATATCAAATTGCAATTCAAAATCTTTCACTATTTAACACAATGTCTTTCATTCCTCGTTGCTGCCTCGTTGGCCGAGTGGTCGTAAGTGTGACTGCCGGGCAAGAGGTCTCGGGTTCGATTCCCGGATCATGCAAAGATTTACTGGGTTTTAAAAAAAATCTCAGTAGTAGCACAGAGACTGAAAATGTGCCCGGTATATGACAATAGGCTCACCCCCTATTACATGTGACTCATAACATAAATAGTGAAAAGTGGGTGTAACTTTGTGTGCACCTCTGGCTACCCCTTCGGGGATAAAAGGTGTGATGTTATGTAATGTCTTTCATTCCTTCGGACAATAATTCGCGTGATTTTATCTTGTGGTCACAGTAAAGAATTATTGTAGTCATTGGTTATTAAAATAATGAGCGTTACAAGCATAGATGAGCATCGAACAAATAAATTATGTAAATGAAAACAAGTATAACTAAAGGCATGACTCATAAACTTTTTTCTAAATTCTCCTTCTCATAACATTGACTTTCCAGAATGCCAAATATTTAAAAAAAAGCATGTTTAGAAAAAAAATATTGCGTCAAATGTCGTAAGCTTTGCGGAGTCTAGGAACAAAAAGTTCTAGTTCGACCTGATTTAATTTTGAAACGATTTAAAATCTTCAAATTCTATATAAGGTAATAACAGCTAAAAGTCAAGGACGTTCGACTGGAGTTTATGGGACTAGTTTTCTTTAGTCTGACTAAAGTATTCGTGCGTGGGTCTATGTCTAGTAATAAATAAGGATTCGAAAATAGACATTACCTTACCTTACCTTTTTTGTTTACATCTGGAATAATCAGTAAGTTGTTAAATGTTTTATCCGGGTCCTAATAACTGCCTACGATTGGTTCAAATTGCAAATTGCATGTGCACGTATGCATTGATTGCCATTTACCTACACTATGAAAAAATATATTTACTGAACTTGACTTTTGCACTTATCTCTTCATCAGATTCTGATCATTATCCGTTTTATAATTTCTGATTTTAAAGCTATAACGAAACTAACTTCTGTTATCCCAAATTCATAATTAAATTTTTTTATCCACGTTTCTTCTTTATTTAACTAGGTACTACCTTCTGCCCGCGACTTCGTACGCGCAATCCCATTTTCTCCCGTTCCCGTAGGATTTTAATGGTTTTTTGTGTCTTAAGAACGTTCTCCTAATAATAAAAAATACATCAAAAAATAACTAGTGAAATCGGTGCAGCAATTCACGCGTGATGCCGTGACCAAGGGAAAAAGGGATTAATTTATATATTTATACTAGCGGACCCGACAGACGTTGTCCTGCATATCCACTTAATTCAAATTAGTTCAGCCGTTTAGGATAACTAACCTAACCATCGAGTGCAGCGCCATCTGCCGGGCAGATTTGTGAATCCAAACCATCCAGGGCGCCACTCAAACGCGAACAGAAAAAATCATTAAAATCGGTTTAGCCGTTTAGGAGGAGTTCAATGACATACACACGTATGTACAGCAGAATTAATATAAAGATAGATTTGGGTAAATCTTATAGCTAATAATATAGTCTTCTATTTATAGCAAATGTTATAAAAACTCCTTAACTGATAACTTTCCTTCAAAAGTATTTGAAAAATGAAGTGTCCGCAACCGTAGTTTAAAGCCGACTCTCGGAACAATAACTTTATTGTTCCGAGAGCCGACTAAACAAAATGTTACCCGTATGGGGAATATGCCTTTTTACAGTTTACTTCGTCAGTGTAACCTTCGGCAATTTTGCAAGTTTTCACAATGCATTTGTCACAGTATTAGAATAAGAAATATTAATTTGAAAACAACATCGTTAAATGTGTATCTAGAAGATACTAGATTTTTATACGTGAAAAAATATTAATCATTTCATTTATTTTTTAAATGCTTCAAAAATGCCAACTACGTCTATAAAACATAAGTTTTATCTATTGACCAAATAACATGGATAAAAATACGAGTTGATCTACATTTGTCATTGTATCCAGAAAAAATGTTGTAAGACTACATTTTATAAAAAAGAAAAATATTTAAATATTGTCGTAATAATGAACCACATTATGTTAGCAATCAAATTACCATAAAGACTGCTCACATTTGGACATGATCAACATATTAACATGTAGGCGCCTGATAGTTTAGGTATAAATATTTTGAAGAGGCGATAAAACTGGTTGCTATGCTTATCACACAAGGTACATTGTTTTAGGAACAGTTTTGTCGCTCCACTTGAATTTCTTCGCAGACATTAGTAGAAAGTTTGCAATTCAAATTCAGGATTTTTACCCTTAACATTACTGGCTCCAAATATTAATAATTATTATTAATAATTTCAGTTATGACGGCACTGATGGTTCATCTCGCACGGAAGAAGGTGCCATTTTGAACCCGGGAACCAAGGACGCAGCCTTGGACGTCGCAGGTGCAGTGCGCTGGTACGACGCAAACGGCCACCTCTACCAAATGACGTACAAAGCGGGGAAGAGAGGCTATAGAACAATTATCAAGAAACTATCGTAATACATAATCGGCAATGTAATATGTGCCTTAAGTATTAGTTCGAATACACTTCGATAACAAAAGACTGGACATTATAATGTTATTTATTTACTAGAATCGTTTATTTAATTAAATTAAACGGAAATTATTCCGTATGGATATTTTTGAAGTTAAAATCTTAATTTGTCAAACATAATTTTAATGAAAATGCCATAATTTTCTTATTATTTTCAATTAGACATTTTTAGTCCACTTTAAATTCTGTAAAAAGCAGTCTATATAGTTAGGTTAAAATAATTTGATAGGTAAATTAATTATACATTTAAAATAAGTTCTTCTATAATTAAAACTTAGCAATAATGTGTCTATTTATTTATGACCTAGTATCTGTCCATGTCCTATGTATTTAATTAGTATTATTACATCTTGGGTTATGCCCATTTTTAGACATAATACATAATATTTCTAGACATATGAAAAGAGGTTATTACGTGCGTATAATACGCACTCTTTTCATCTGTTATGACTACCTCTTGGAAATAAGTACGAGCCTATTGATATTCAATAGAAATACTCCATGTTCCATGATATATCATGGAGCGAACAAATTCTATATTTGTTTACCCTATCTGGACATCATTCAGTATCTTCGCATCCCACCAAAAAACAATAAAGGCAATTGAAATCTTGAATCACGTGATCGTCCAATACCAAAAACTCAATACCAAGTTGAAATAAGCTGAGCTACTTTTTTAATATACATATGTACATTGTACATACATACATACATATAATATCGTCACATCGGTTTCCTATTGAACTGGCATACCTGTACCTTATTAGGTATAGCTATTGCTAACCTGACCTGTATAAGTGTTTATGTAGCCCAGCATAATTATAATAGTAGGTACATGCAAATTGAATGAGGCGACTTGACCAAGTTAATGTGGATTGAAAAAAGATGTAGCAACCAGCACTGATAAGAAAGGCTCAGAATTTTTTTAATTTATGTAAAAGTATCAATCAATTATGCTAGGAAGTCGCGGAGAACCTAACGGGTAACCGGGGCTCCGGCTCGACGTGCAGGAGAAGGAACGGGGTGGTTTTTAGTCAGTAAGAGTCTGACACTCCTTTCCGCCTCACCCAGGCGGGAGCAGTTATTCGATGATTTTCCCCCCTTAAAAAAAAAAATTATGCTAGGAAATATCTGAATGGAAAAATCCGGTGGAAAGAGCCAAGTCAAAAGCATTCTCAATCGGCGAGTATGCTTTAAGAGATTAGTTAATTAATTAATTTAGATGAAGATTTCCTAACATTTCTGTACTATCCATGTGTTTCAAGGCAAGTAGGTAGTTAATGAGCTATGATTGTAAACACAAACAGACAGCCGACAGAATGTTTGTCAATTTCGGCGCATGCCATATTTCATAAGCTGATTCGTGTTATCACCTTAGTTACTGCACTTCAACAAATTGATGTAACTTAACAAATAGACATTGTATTTAAGGCGATTTCTACCCGTTTTTATATCAGTCACATTTGTGTTTTGTGTGTACCTGAGTACTAAGCTATTATCATGATTGCCACGGTAAGTCCTAAAAGGTTTACTACCCTTAAAACTTAATAACATAACATAACACCATGCCTTTTACCCCTAAGAGATAAAAAAGATAAAGGTGCCACTGCAGTAAGTAACACCCACTTTTCACTATTTATGTTATGAGTCCTAACTAATATAGGGTGAGCCTATTGCCACATACCGGGCACAGTCTCGCTCTTCTCTGCAGGAATTCTGCTCTGTATATGACTCCCGACTATAGGCTCCCCCTATTGTCATACACCTAGCAGAATTCCAGACTTCGTGCTAGGTGCTATTGAGTTTTTTTTTAAACCCAGTAAAATTTTTCCCGGCCCGGGTTCGATCCTAGTTGACCAGGTTAGGCTAATGAGGCAGTCGTCATAAATACATTGTTAAACCTTTGTTAAATATACAACTCATTTACCTATGATAGAGAACTATCATGAAGTCATTACATAGAAGAAAAAAATATAGAATCAACTCAGATTGTTACCTACTACCAATATCTGGTATGTTGATAGGTATTCCTAGACTAACCACGAAACAATACACGATAATTAATGTTCCGGTTGGTATTTGAAAATAATACTTAAGTACTTATAATAAATAGAATGGAAATACCTTGTTGAAATCACAATGAAATATAATTTACATAGACATTGACTTGTCAAAGATTTTACATAACACCTTAGACCTAGGTAAGAGATGAAAAAATAATGACTGTGTTACGTCATTTCCTTTATATGTATGTTGTATTGTACATACATACTATGGCAATATTGTATCTTATATCTTGCCGTCGCGGAGAACCTAGCGGGGGCTCCGGCTCGAAGCACAGGAGAAGGAACGGGGTGGTTTTTAATCAGTAAGAGTCTGACACTCCCTCCCGCCTCACCCAGGAGGGAGCAGTCATTCCCCTTAAAAAATAGCTTACTACCGTTGGTTTCGGTTACCATTAGACAAAAAACTCTTTGTAAAGTTATTGACTCAAAATTCTTAAAACTAAACTGTATAGTTATAATATAATTTTAATATATAGACACATATAAAAAGTTTCTATTAAAGTTATTCTTCATTTCAGAAACTCTTTATATTCGCTCTCTTTGCCGGAGTACTTGCCGTGGAAGAGAAACCCGTTGCTGAAATCATAACAGAAAGTACCATTGTTAATCCTGATGGATACAGTTTTGAGTGAGTTTAATATTGTTTGGAAAGCAATAGACTAATATATGACAAAAACGGATCATTATTTACTGTACAAAGTTCAACAACTGCGTAATTTGAAAGTCACACTTTCCTAAGTACTTATTGCTTATCGACTGACTTATTACTCCCAGTTCCCATCCGTAACGTGAATGATTGTTCATTTTTTATTTTCATGGCAGGGATTCTGGAATATACTCACCAATTTAATTCAATAAATCCCAAAGTCCCAACAACATAACTGGATAGAATTGGGTTCACTATTTACAGTAATCCTTTCTATTCACTGATTCGGGAAGTAAAAGAGTGCAACACGATATCACCCTTTATAATCTTAATAACAAATCCAATTCCTTTTACAGCTTCAAGACCAGCGATGGCATATCCAGACATGAAGACGCCAGCCTGATAACAGTGGGTGACAAGCAGGGCATCGCAGTCAAAGGCTCCTACTCCTACCTGACTCCTGAAGGTGAAGAGTACCAGATCACATTCACCGCTGACGACAAAGGCTACAAACCAACTCTTCGAGTGGTCCCCGCCCATCAATAATTTGCCAATATTTGTACTTTTGTATTGTTTTTTACCGATTTGTACTCATGTGATTTTGTAATTAAAAGAGTGTCGAAAAAAGGCCTGGATTTCTTTTGTTGTCTTATTATATTATATGCTGTATTTTCGTACAGCATGGACTAAATTTATTTAATTGTAGCACTCGACTCTAGCAGGAGTGCAATAGTATTTGCAATTTTAACGTTTTTTAAGCATAAACGAGCATACGGATCACTTGATAGTAAGCAATCGGCGTCCCCAATGGACACATGGAACACCAGAGGCGTTACCGGCCTTTGGAGGATTAGGAGTTTGAGGAATTAATTAATATAAATATAGTAAGAGTAGATTAAGTAATTGGACCTCCGGTAACCTCACTCACACAACGAAACACAACGCAAGCGTTGCTTCGCGTTGATTTTCTATGAGGTCGTGGTATCACTCCGATCGAGCCGGCCCATTAGTACCGGAGCATGGGTCTCTGGAATATGTGGTTGTCCTTAAACTTAAATAATTTACAACTAAAAACATAGAAGAAATAAAAAGCATAACTTTTTGTATCCGTTATTATGAAGACACGATGAAATCGTGATCGTGATATGTAACTTAGAAAGAATGGAGAATTTAAATTTCATAAAACAAATTTCTCGGTGTGAAAGTGGTGTCCATGATTCAAGAGGCAAGAGCCACCGCATATTGCAGGAGTAACAGAAGATAAGCAAATGTGAGAAGAACTTTATTTAAAAAATCCTTTTAGTATTGTTTTAGTTATCCTTTAAATATGAAGTTTATATAAAACTTTCTTAAGGTAAATGCACCTTATTCCGAGGGGTTCTAAAAATGGCACCATATTCCGATGTATTTAGAAAAACAGTTTTTTAAAGCAATTTACTAGTTATTTATGGTCTGCATGATAAAATAATGAATTAATAATTATCTGTTCATATTTATTTATACAAAGGAGAGTTTAGTATGGTCACACTGTAAAATAATCGGTCATTTTGCCGCGGGGAGCGGCGTCGAAAGCACACTTCATACATTTGGGACCTTATGCACGTGAGTATTAAGATTTGCCAAATAGTGTTTTACGTAATAATTTTATACAACGCGAGTTTTCGTTTAGGTTGAAATATTGAAAGGATAATATTTTTTATCGAAAACACTTAAGATTTGAGTATTTCATTTGCAAATTAGCAAGAAAATAAGTGTTTAAAATACTGCGGCATTAGGTGCAAAATATTTTAGTGTGTTCCTAAAAGCCGATGTATACCACGGAAAAACAAATTTAAAGACATTTAGTTTTTTTAAATTTCGGTGTCTGTTTTATGATTATAAACTTTAATGTGTTAGTTCTGACTTAATGAATAACTCATACATTTAATAATCTATTTCCGAGGTACACCGTGGCGTCGCATTTACTAATTATAGCAGGTCAAAAATTGTTTGTACAGGTACTTTATTAATACGTTGTATAGAAGATTTTAGTGAAGACATTAGGTTTTATAAGTGTTCTGTTATTATATGTATGTACTTTATATTTGTTTTCCTTTCATATTGTAACTATACATTATTTTATTTGCATAATATTAAAAAATCTTTTACTTTTTAGTACTCGGAATTAGAAACTTTGATTTAGCATCATAAAACGCTATTCCGATGTATTTACGTCGGAATAAAGTTACATGAGTACCTAATTCCGATGTATTTACGTCGGAATAAGATTACATGAGAACCTAATTCCGAAGTTAGTTAAGACCCTGTTTAAATACAGAGTGTTCATTATTTTATGTGCATATTAGATACGCGTTTAGTAACTGAAAGAATACTAATCATCTATACAAATACATAAAATTGGAGTGTGTGTTTGATATTGTTAATTCATTTTTATATTTTTATAAGATTAAGGAATAATATTAATAAAAAACAGGGTTTAGAATAAAACTAGAATAAACAAAAACAGAATTGATTTAAGTAATAAATTTATTTTTCTTTCTTTCTTTCTTCTAATATAAAAAATAAACAGATTTGACTTTTAAACATCATGTATAATTCTCCCTACATAGTTCCCTTTCTATTTTTATACTCGGAATTAGGAACCAAATGCATCGGAATTACGATTTTTAAATCGGAATAAGGTACCTCGGACTTTTTTATATTTTTATTTATTTTATCAGCTTCAATAACCTTCTACTGACAAACTGCAAATATTTTTCAAAAATTTGATAGCTAACACTTCTGATAAAAATATAAAATTGTACACAAAGGTCCGATAAATACTTAATTTATAATGTTCTTTCGTGTTATGTTAAAAACAGCGCGGAATTAGGTGCCTTTACCTTATTATTATTATGCTAGATTTAGTAGATACTGAAATTATCTCAAGCACTAATGTTCGCCACTGGTATCTGTAGATCGTTCTATTCAAATAATTAATTTAGTTAAGGTTTAAACCGGGTTAACACCAAATTCGTAACCCAGTTTAATCATAAATGAAACACGGAATGTATTGTATGGTAGTGTCCTACAATTAATTTTAATGTTCGTCTGGTAGAAAATTTAAAACATTAGACTCTTATTTTCTTTTCTCACATAATTAAATACTTTCGACGATATATTAATTTGAAATATCGTTTAGCGACCGTCCATACCAGAAGTTAACACCATTTTATCTAACTATTGTAATTTTATACGAGAAAATAAAAAAACGTGTCTAATATTTTTTCATTATCGAACTGACGGATTAATTAAAAATGTATTTGTTTTACCCTGGCAACTATTAGCTAGTTATAATAAACATATTCCCAAACAAAGTGCATAAACTCTAACTTCTAAACACGCGTACACGATTCATGTACCTCCATGATTTGTGTGCCTTGAATCATTGTCACCGTTCATGTATCGTGTAGTTTCATTTAGTAAGTTCGTGCAGACAATATTTTAGCAGGCACTTAATTCAATTATACTCGAGTTCAAAAAGTGAACTCCATCAGACAGAACCATCAGTCTTCATAGACACCAATAACTGGTAAGTGCGAGTACCTTAATAATTTTTATGTCTAAAGTAAATCAATTATTTCATGTAATGAAAGTTTAAAAGATGATTATTTCCGAACAATCCAAAGCTGATCTGATTTCTAAAAGGATGATACTTTAAATATGATTCACTACCATTCTTTTTGTTCAAAAATGTATATTGTTAATATAAATTGTAACTCCCGATTTTTTTCTGTACAGGTTGCGATGTCCGTCTTTTTCAAAATCGTCCTAAATAGCCAAAGCATATATGAAAATGGATGAAAAATTCAATACCAAGTACAATGTTAATTTTAAATAGAACATAAACGTGAGTAATTTTTAGGTAAATAGAATAATCTATATATATAAAATTCAAAGGTGATTGACTGACTGACTGACTGACATAGTGATCTATCAACGCACAGCCCAAACCGCTGGACAGATTGGGCTAAAATTTGGCATACAGATAGATGTTATGACGTAGGCATCCGCTAAGAAAGGATTTTGATAATTTCCACCCCCAAGGGGGTAAAAAAGGGGATGAAAGTTTGTATGAAACTTTGTCAGTTTTTAACTGATCGGGTTGAAATTTGGCATGCAGATAGATGTTATGACGTAAGCATCCGCTGTGAAAGGATTTTGATAATTTCCACCCCCAAGGGGGTAAAATAGGGGATGAAAGTTTGTATGAGACTTTGTCAGTTTTAAACCGATCGGGTTGTAATTTGGCATGCAGATAGATGTTATGACGCAAGCATCCGATGTGAAAGGATTTTGATAATTTCCACCCCCAATGGGGGTAAAATAGGGGATGAAAGTTTGTATGAGACTTTGTCAGTTTTAAACCGATCGGGTTGAAATTTCGCATGCAGATAGATGTTATGACGTAAGCATCCGCTTTGAAAGAATTTTGATAATTTCCACCCCCAAGGGAGTAAATAGGGGATGAAAGTTTGTATGAGACTTTGTCAGTTTTAAATCGATCGGATTGAAATTTGACATGCAGATAGATGTTATCACATAGGCAACCGCTAAGAAAGGTTTTTGAACATTCTCACCCCAAAGTGGGTAAAATAGGGGGTGAAAGTTTGTATGATACTTTGCCAGTTTTAAATTGATCGGGCTGAGACTTTGCATGCATAAAGTTACTATGACATAGGTATCTCTTTAGAAAGGATTTTGGTAAATTCCACCCCTAAGGGGATAAAATAGGGAATGAGAGTTTGTATAAATCTTCTTAGCCGTTGAATTTAGAATCATCGAATCTTTTTGAATTACATTCGGTAAAACGATGATTTAGGACCTGGGTAACGTATGATAGGTTTTTCACAGATGTCTCACGAGAACGGGAACTATGCGTCAATGCCCCAGGACTCTCTAACTCTTAGCCACTGAACTTATTCTAGAGAGATTCGGTACAACAATAGTCGATAGAATAGTTTTTATTACTCAAACCTTACGTGATCCTGTGGGATTATTTATTTATTGAAACTACGATAAATCATTTCAAAATAGGTAAATCTTACTTGGGCACTGAATTGATTCGGGTTAATTCTGTCAGAAGTCATTAATCTACTTACGCGGACGAAGTCGCGGGCAACAGCTAGTTATTATATAAAGTAGAGGAACGAAAGAAGTACACGGAGTGGATATGAATGGGGCCGTCAGTAGGGGGCGCCCTAGACGGGCATATAGAGACCAGATTGGCGATATATTAAAGAAGGGCCAAATTAAAAGTACCTTTAACCGACGAGCATACATTGATGACTGTTGATGAAGCGAAATAGGTATGTAGGAATCGTAGTAATTGGCGTTCCCTAGTCTCTGCCTACCCCCATAGAAGACATGCGTGAAGTTATGTATGTATGTATAGTACCTATACCTACATAATTAACTTTAGGTTCAATTAACAAAAATGATTATACGATACAAAACAAAACTGATATTCTGACTTAGTAAGGAAGATAACTCATTTATGATTGAAAAATTACATTTTTGTTATCTATCTATGCCCCATATATGGTGTTGATTGTTTGTTCTTTGTGTTCATTTTAGATTCGTGTCTGATGATGGAGACAAATTATTATTAGAATTTACCAGTTGGTAAGTTAAAGGTAAAAATATCTTCCATAACAAAAACTGATTGATCTAACCATAAATTAGTTTTTATTTTGACTAAGAGTCACATTTGCTCAACAATCCTTAACTAAATCCCTATCTAAATCGGTTCCAAAAATCAATATGACTTAAAAATTAGTAAACCAAAAACATAAAGCTCACATGATGAGTCACTTACCTCGATAATTGAAAATCATTAATCATTCAAACAATTAGATATACAATTCTAGCCAAATCTTTTTGTGATTGTGTCCTATTTGACTTTTAAATTGGAACGTGATTTTAATGCTGATTAATTATCATAAAATATGTCTTACAAAGGAGAGTCAAGTCTTTGACGAACCACCTAGATTTTTTGTGTTAAGCTACTGTTTTTATAACGGCAAATATAATACAAATATTCAGTTCAAAATAATAATAATTATTATATTCTGCCGACTCAAACATCGTTCCGCCTAAAAAATATACTGGCCTCCCACGACCATTTCAAGACCAAAATAAGCCGAATCGGTTCAGCCATTCTCGAGTCTTAGCGAGACTAACTAATGGATTTTTTATATAGTTAGATAAGATAAAAAGGGAATAATTAAAATAAAATAAAATACATACTTAATTTTCACCCTTTGGTAGGCAGTTGCAAGTTTATTTGGCAGTGTTAAAGTATATGGGAACCAAACATCCCTTTCAAATATTAATATTTGGTGTCAGCGAACAATTTTGGGGGCTTGTGTCATCTTTGTTGTGAGTTTAAGCTTGGGGGGCGGAGGCAGCGGGTGCTTGGGCCTTGTCACCAGATTCTTCAGAGGGCTGGTAGCCGTTCTTGTCAGCGAGGTAAGTGACGGCGATGTGCTGGCCGTCGGGAGCGACGTACTTGTAGCTTCCCCTCACGACCAGACCCTGCTGTTCAGTGTCGTTCTTGTACTCGCCAGTCTCCTGCCTTGAAGTACCATCACTGGTCTCAAACCTGGAATGATGAAGAGGAATATGATATAACCTGTTTTGTAATAAATCACTTAATTGTAAATAGAGAGAAAATGCATATTTCTGTTTGTGAACATTTTTTGGTAATACTATGTTTATTTAAAGAAATAAAGTTATTTAGAAAATACCACAATTCGTTTAGATATAATAAGACACCATAAGTTCTTGACTTAAGTAGCCCACTGTGTAAATATACTCTTCTAATACTCTTGCGGTTATTTTAATCTCCTCGACATATTTGCATGCGGTTACTTTGTTTGACTAACAAAACTTGGTGATTAATACAAATCAAGTATGTCATACATCTTCTACCAAAACAAACTTACGTTTAAGGAACAGAAGAAATTAAGAACAACTAAATATGTAAGGGATTATCCGATTAAGAACCTCTATCTTTAACTGCCCTTCTTCTTTTGAAGGACCAAAATGCTACCATCAAAAAATGATTGGTCTTCTGAACAAGGGTTGCGTCTTCCACTCCTTCACAATACACAAAAACAATTATGCAATTTATATCAGAAGATATTGTTATACTTCGGGAAAGCTGGGGCAAGAAGGGGCAACATTCGTGAAGATGTATGAAAAAATTATAATGTATTATTTATTGGAACTTACTCAAAGTTGTATTTGTCAACATCAACATCGTCAACTTGCTTGACAATCTCTACAGCGGGGGCTGCAGCTGCAACGGGGGCCGCTGCCTCCTGAGCGCAGGCTACGGCAAGGGCGGCCAGAGCGAATAACGTCTGAAATTAAAAGGGTTTAGTACATTAATTAATTTAAGTGAGAATTTTAATTGTGTTCCCGTTAAAATTCGATGTAAAAAAATTCTAAGTAGTAATGGTGGTCAGGCAATGATTATTAATTAAGATGAACTGTTTTCAAACTGAGATAATTTAGACAAATATTTTCTAACTATAAAATTTTCATCCTATGGGGTTAAAAAATAAAATTATTTTTAAAAGTGTTTTTTTTTAGAAAAAAATATACGAAAAATCACTTACAATTTTCATCATTTTTGTAGTGGTGTTTTTTTGATAAAATTCAAGTAAGGATGTGTTGGTGGTAGGACGAGTCCTGAACGTCTATGCTCTGAAGTTACATGTTGAGCTATAAATATCATTTCATTGTATTGACAATGCGATGTTTCGAAGTTTCATTGGGAGGCGAGGTGTTAATCACAATCATGCAAACAGTTTATTTAAGGTGATCCAAGAAACGTTACAGGGATTTGTGAATTGTGTAAATTGTTTGCCGCCGGTCACCGCACGCATGTGTCTCTTAACCTACATCGTACAGGCATCCTTGAAAACTCGATTTTTGTTTTCATTTAGAGTTCACACTAACGTGAAAATGCATCGCTATTAAAGCTATTAACAAATGTGCTAATCGTATCAAAAACATCCCAGGTATTTTAAATGAGAGTAAATATTACATCAAGGTACATAGCGCGTTGCGGAACTATTATAATCGATCTTAAATCATTTCTGGGATTACATTCAGGTAATATAAACGTTTTATCATATTTTGGCACATGTTATTTAATATTGTCATTACAAAGTCTAATATTCATCAATTTTCATTTAAATTATTAATGTGTGGTTTTTGCTTTGCTCAATGGGTCATAGGAATGTACATTAATTTCCAATTTTTCAAAAGCGCTTGTATTATCACGTTTTTGGTAAAGATAAGTACCTCTTTTTATGTATAGAATAGGTGCATAACCAGTATAATAGTTTGATATCCTTTTCACACATTAACGTTTTATAATTTCACTGGAAATAAAATAGTTTTCATATCTTCATTTTTCATTACGTATATCTGTTATGTTATGTGATGTTCGTTGTGTCATACATCCCTGCTAATGATTGTAAAGATAAGTCAAGTAACATTGAACCCGTAGGTTCGATTTTCAAAATTTGTATACAGAATGAAAGAAAGACTGGCTGTCTACATTTTTTGGAACCTATTTTTTTTTCTGCGATTTATAAATTGTAAGTTGTTGATGTCGACCTCAACACTCGCACTCAACCAACGACTCGGTCAAAGGTGAAGAGGTAAGGATTTATGCTGAAACATAATTTCTTCTTGATAAATTAAATGTTATTGACTCCGTGTACACCCACATATTTCTTCGACAATTTTAATGAGGTGTACAATCACTAAAGCAGGTAATTTAATGTATATTTTGTCCTTCTAACAATATCTCCGTTAAGATCAGAGCCCATTTTCTAAGAGGATGTATCAGTAGGGCGGGTCACGAGTTCATATCAAACATGACGTCACCCCACGAACTTAGTACAAAGATGAGTTTTAATTATTAGTTGCGATGGGTAAAAAGGTCACACAAAACGCAAGGTTCAAGTATCCTTAGTATTTGACGTTTTACGTAGGTATTTGTATGCCTATGCATATGTATATTTATGTATGTTTAGTAGATACAACTGTACAAGTTATGTAATAGATGACTATGTTAACCCACACCGCGCAATATGTCAATGTAATAGAATTTTCAATAAAACGTGTCTAAGTTGTTGCAGGGTTGTCCGACTTTGTTTCTTTTAGTGTCCACGTAGAATGACTATAATACTGTTAATTTATTTAGAGCCAAATTTTTCATTCGACTGATAACTTCTATTCGGAAAATAAAATTGACGTCTGGCTTTATTTTATACGGAAGAATTGTCAAAAATTGTTTCCTCACTATTTTTTCCTTCACCGTTTGTCTGTGGTGTCTAAATAATCTTAAAGTACCTATAGATAACTCGGAAAAAGTCACATTGGTACTTGCCGTTGGTAGATTTCAAACCCGCACCCTCATGCATGCGAAGCGGGCGTCTTAAACCTCCGGGCCACCACGACATGACACCGATAAAGTTATCTGGCGTTTAAAAAATTGGTCCTTAGTCTGATTTTTATTATGTCATAATAGTCAGCAGTCAACCTTATAACTAGAGTTATCCAGTTGAAATTAATTTTGGGTGACCTCGTATTCAACACAAACGTGTAAACAGAACCATGGTTAGTTGCGTTTATGGGTGAAAAAAAAAGATTTATGATTCAAATGCGGAATCAACGGTCATTATATTAATGTAAGGTCATAATTTTATACTAATGGTCATATTATATATATTGTTATACGTAAAAACTAAGATGCCTTCTGGACTAGAGACTACGTTTGGGAACAGAACATATGGTGCCATTCTGATACTATTACTTAGAGAGAAGTAACGATAAAAATTACTTGAGATGGTTGTGTCGAGCTTCGGAGTGAGCTACTAGAGAGGCCTATATCCAGCTGAGGACGGAAATTATTGATGATATCATAAACTTATTCGATATTCACTTTTATGTTACTCTAACTCTGTAGGCGTTTAGAAATTTAGTTGTCTTTAGTTTTCAACTGAGCGTGAGGTTCAGCCTGTTATTTTTCTTAAATTTCTTTTACTTTTAAATAAAAACTACCTTTTCGTAGTAGTAAACCAAATATTATGATAATGATGGAACTACATCTAAGTAAACAGTGAAGCAAGTAGTTTTTGTTAACCAAGAGAACAGTTTCCAATGGCATCTATATAAATAAAAATGATTTTCCGTTCGTCTCACTAAAACTCAAAAACAGTTGAACCGATTTGACAAATTTTAGTCTTCACTTGTGGAAGTTCAGAGTAGGTTTAAAATATGAGAAAAAAGGCTTAGGACGGTACGAAGTTTGACGGGTACGGGTAAAATCAAAGTAATTTATGTTTGATATAGCTACACATTCTCGAAACACCACGTTCATTTTTACTGCGCATCGGTGTTTAGTGTGACTACATTGTGCGCTTGCAGTACATAAGTACTTTTATAAATAAATACCGGTTATTATGTCATACATTTGTCATCTTTATCTATTAGCGTCGACATAAATGTACACGAGTAACTGCATTTTATAAACTTCTGTTTCCGTACCTTGAAACATCAGTTTAAATATATTTTTTTACCAGGTGTTCGTAAAATAAGGACTAACTGTCTTGTTAAACATGCAAGTAGTTGTATGTTATGTGTACTGGTAAATGTTTTATGAGTTATTTTTTATGAAAGTGGTGAGGCATTGTTGCCTTTGTTCAGCAGTGCATGTCCTCCAGTTGATGAAGATAATGACCCTTAGGTCAGTAAATACATATATTTACCTAGGGAATGTATGGTTCCCACAAAGTCCTGATAAAGAATTTTTTTTTGCTCCACACTAGTATTTTCTTCTGTGTCAGGTGCATTTGAAAACATACAATTTCACATACACATGACACCCAGACCCGTAACAACGATTTGTGGATCACACAAAGAGTTGTTCCGCGTGGGACTCGTACCCGCGTCACGTTGCATGGCAGTCCGTTGCCCAGCCACCGCAGCAACCGTGTTTCCGTAATCTTTTTTAAGGTCACGTCTATCTCTAACATAAATTCACTTTTACGGTTTTAAGTACCTAATACCTACTAGGATTGCAGACATTAGTCTAATAGTTATCATTCTACTAATACTCTATGTAGACGATAAGCCTAAACCCATCATCAGACCACCACAGATGGGCCCCAGTAGGGGTGATGCCGATACGGATGACTTAACGGGTTACCGGGGTTTTAGCTCGAAGAGCAAAAGTAGGAACTGTGTGGTTTTTAGTCAATAAGAGTCTGACATTCCCTCTCGCCTCAACCAGGGCGGGAGAAGTCATTGGATGATTTTCCCCATCAAAAAAAAAGCCTACAACTGTACTCATTCTGTTTCACAAGTGCGAAGAAGATACATTGCAAATGTAAATACAGCATTTATTTACACGCTTGTTAAGAATTTCTATAAATTGCTTAGTGTCATCAATATGCAGGTTCTATCTGATTTATTATCTACTCATTTTCCCACGCAAATCGATGAGTTAAAGCAGCTAAGTTGCGATAATAATACATAGTACAGTGATGGTAAGGATTTTCTATTACTTAAATACTTGTAACATAATATAATGTAACTTCTATATGTAACTCAAATATTTTTATCTACCGTAACATAAAATTTGTAACATTCTGATCTTATAAGCCTGAAATTCATAATATGCATACACTATGTAATTCCCACTTTTAATCTACTTTAAAGGTCCCATTTACCATAGGTGAGCCTAATGTCATACACTGAATAAAATTTAACCTTCGTGCTCTCACAAAGTTGTTTTTTTTTTGACACCGAAATTAGTTCAATTTATACTTTGTTCTCGAAATCGATACCAAAAACCGTTACTAGGCAGACTGCTAAATATTTCTATTCGGTATCAACTGATAAAAGTGGTGACTACTTCTACACATTTTCAATATCACTTGCAACACACATGATGTAAGCTATGAAGTTATAAGTGCGTGAATCTTTGAGAGAAACTTAATCAAACATTTGCTTTGTGTGTACCGGAACAATACAAGTGTACTTGTACACACAATGTGTTACTTGATTTACACAACACTCCCCGTGATTAATTTCATCTTTTTCTTTGCAATATCAACGTTAAATAAGACCTGGTTAAGACATTGAGTCTTAGCTAACACCAAAAAATTATTGGCAAAAATTCAATCACCATCCCTGTTATTACATTATCCTATCCTATCCATCGCTTATTGTATGAGGAAACAGATGTACGTCGAACATTCATTGTCATTTAGGAGTGTACTCCTAATCAGTCGACATGACTATTAACTTAGGTACTTTTTTTTAATCAAATACCTATTGTATATTTTATGTCGTGCTCAGAAGTAGCACTTACCAACTCAACCAACGAGACTTAAGTAAAAAAAACACATCTAAAGAGACAAAAAATTTTACAGTATGTATTTATCTGCCATTAAAACACAGTTATTTTTATATTATGCATGAAATAAACAAATATGGAAAACTATTTAGAAATAAATATTAAAGTTTACGATGCACGAACAAAAGTCAAGGATTTCATTAAGGGACCGTGTGAAATATTTCAACAATTGTCAATAAAATGTGCGTACATCATTTATTTATTTTAATTTTAAATTATAGTAGCCTTTTACATAATACTATGTATTAATTACACTCAAC